TTTTTTTTTTTTTTTTTTTTTTTTTTTTTTTTTTTTTTTACGTTTTGTTCGTTCACATTATATATCGTTTTTTTTTATGTTTTGAAAGAATAAACAAATTAAAATAGAACCCGAATAACTATCAAACATCAAATATAATTTTTTAATGTTGTTTTTTATGTGTTTTCGGTTACATCATTTTTATATGTTTTACTTTTTTTATTTAGCTTTAAGAGGTTTTATTGTTACTTTTTAACCGGATAATCTTAAACATTATGATAAACAACTATCATACCGTCATAACAACTATTGAAATAACAATTATATTTTAACAACTATTTGTTAAAAGAATAATCTTAAATAAAATCTACCGCTTGTTAATACCCATTAAGTATATATATTGTCTGAAATAATAAAAAATTCTCTCGTATTTATTTTAACAAAATAAATAGGATTCAAATTAAAATACGAGGGGAATTTTTTAATATTTCAAACAATATGTACTTAATGAGTATTAACAAGCGGTATATTTCATTTAAGATTATTTTTTTTAACAAAAATATAGTTGTTATGACGGTATGATAGTTGTTTATCCTAATATTTAAGATTATTCTTTTAAAACGTAATAATAAAACCTCTTAAAGCCGAATAAAAAAAATAAAGCACATCAACGAATGATATAAATTAAAAACACATAAAAAACAACATTAAATAATTATATTTGATATTTGATAGTTATCCGGGGTTTTATTTTAATTTGTTTATTCGAGCAAAACATAAAAAAACGATATATAATGTGAACGAACAAAACGTAAAAAAAACAATATTAAATCGTATATTCGAATAAGATGTCAAATAATAATAATAATAATAATAACACAAAACTGTACAAATGGTCCCTATGGTTAGCTGAAAAATATCACTTTGGTCCAAAAAGTTTTGAACCAGTACTGGTGGTCCAAAGTTTTCATTTTGTTGTGAATTTGGTCCAATTTGTTTTCAACTTTTTCATAATGACGATTTTGCCTTGATATTTTCTTTTTTTATTTTTTAAAAATTAATTTAATGTTTTCTGAATGAAAGAAAAATAAAAAATAAATGCACAAATTCATCTCCTCTCTCTCTCTCTCTCTCGCTCTCTCTCTCTTCACAAATCCATCTCCCTCACTCTAACTTTCAGAAAAATGAAAATACAATCACCGATGACTTAGGCTTCCGGTGATTGAGCGTTCCGACGACTGAGGGTTTCGGAGGCCACCACCATGTATTGTCTACCGTCTGGAGCACCACCATCTCTTCTTTCACCTCAACCGCTCTGAAGATCCAGATCTGCAACATCTCCCCAGCGCCGCCAGCGACTCGAACTCCGACGACACCATCGACTCTGATTTCACTGGAGCACCACCATCCTGTCGCCATTATTGTCTGGTGTAACACCTTCTCGTTGGATCGGAAAAGACTATGGATACCTGTTCAAATTCACCGTCATTGAGCACATACCGGTGTCGCCGATTTCGCCGCCGACTCTACCATCGTCGTCAACACACACCCGTGTCACCCATTTCGCCGCCACCGCTACATGTAAGAAATTATAGCTCCAAAATTCGCATTTTTAGAAATGCTAGCTTCTCCTTCTTTCTCTTCATCTCTATCCTTTTTCGGCGAAGATACAAGCTAGGAGATTGAGAAACCCTAGCGCCGCTGCTCCATTCGGTCGTTTAGGGTATCCCAACTTCGCCATATCATTCGTCTCGGTTCAGATTTGACGGCGCTAGGGTTAGGGTTCCCAAATGGTGGTGGAGGCTTTCATATATGATGGTTTTCCTGTCGGAGGCTGGTGGAGGTTTTCAGATTTGAGGAACGACGAAGCGCCGACGAAGTAGAGAAACGAAGGCGGCGGAGACGTAGGGTTTGCTGAGAAAGATGGCGTCAGACATCCCTTCTTCGAGTTACGGATCAGAGAGGTGGTGGTTTTGAGTTACTAGGTGGTGGCTAAATGGGGTGCACCGATGGTGGTGGTCCGGCTAAATAGGTGGCAGATCAGATAGAATTAGTATATTAAAACTGAGAGGGTGTTTTGAGGGTTTATCTTTATTTTTTATTTTTCTTTATTTAGAAAACATTAAATTAATTTTAAAAAAATGAAAAAAGAAAATATCAAGGGCAAAATCGTCATTATAAAAAAGTTCAAAACAAATTGGACCAAATTTACAACAAAATGAAAACTTTGGACCAAAACTTTTTGGACAAAAGTGACAATTTTCAGCTAACCACGGGAACTATTTATGCAGTTTTGTCTAATAATAATAATAATAATAAATTGTTAAAAAGAAAATGAAAATGTAAAAGAAATGGTGAGTTAGTGTTTTTTTATATGATGCAATGATACAACCTATCAATTTTTAAACTTAAAGACTAAAACTACGAATCTGACCAAAACACATGGACCATTTCTGTAATTTACTCAAATATTAATATGAAACTAATCAAAGATAAATAAAAATACAATAATTATTATAGTTTATAACAAATCTATTTTTGATTTAAAAAATTAATTTATATTACAATATAAATAGCTAAAAAGTAAAATATACATATAATAATGGTTAAAAATGGAATTATATAATTATAAACATTAATATAGGGTGTGTTTTAAAATTTATATATAAGTTAAAGGAGTTAAAATGAAAAAAGGTATAAGAAGAATTGAAATTATGTTAGCAACGATTGATTGTCTGGATATCAAATCAGTTGTTTATATATGAATCATATGCAAACAGTTAATGACACGATCGCCATAACGACTAATGGTGGTTTTGACTTACTTAAATGGTTTTCACCATGATGCCTTTAGAATCCACCGTAGTATTAGTGGCCAAGTTGAGTTCGGCCAGATGCTAAGAATTTTTTTCCTTTTCTTTTTGACGATTTAATAATATTTTAAGATGAAGAGATCTTTTTGTGTAACATTATGTCTGGATATTGTAAAGTTATTGTTTTTTTTAAGATTTCAAGAAATTAAGACGTCATTGATGATGTCTTCAATTCCATTGATATATAAAATATCTCACTGACTCAACCAAGTACACAATTGACAATCTAACTATTAAGATGGAAAAGAAAGACGTGGTGGTGTTAGTGGTGCCTTTTGTGCTACAAGGTCATCTCAATCAACTCCTCCACCTCTCCGGTCTCCTATCTTCCTATAATCTACCGATTCATGTCGTCGTCACAACCACCCACAGCCGTCAAGCAAAGCTTCGTGTCCACGGTTGGGATCCCACCACCGCCACAAATATCCATTTCCATGAATTTGAGACACCCAAATTCGAATCCCCTCCTCCAGATCCTAATGCTCCCGACAAATTTCCTTCACACCTTCTTCCATCGTTTCAACTACCATCTCATCTTCGCGAACCTTTTGCGAAACTATTGTCTGATATTGCTCCCACCACCAGTCGAGTCATCGTCATTCATGACTATCTAATGAGCTCAGTCGTTCAAGATGTAATTGCATATGAAAACGCAGAAGCTTATGTCTTCTATGGTGCTTCGGCTTTTACGACGTTCTCGTACCTTTGGGAACAGAAAGGAAGGCCATGTTTAGATGATGCTGAATCCTATATGCAACTTACAAAGATCCCTGCTTTTGAAGGCTCTATACCAGCAGAAATATTAGAATCTGTTGCGTGTCATAGTGTCTGTCAAACATTTAATTCAGGCAATATTCATGACACATGCAACGTTTTCGATGGGAAATTCATTGACTTTCTTGCGAAAGAAGGACTAACTGGAAGTAGAAAGCAATGGGCTATGGGCCCTTTCAATCCGGTGGCCATAAGCGATAACGAAGACCTTGGAAGACGTCACATGTCGGTAGAGTGGCTTGACAAACAAGATAAAGACTCGGTGCTATATGTTTCTTTTGGCACAACAACGTTATTATCCGATGATGAGATCCGAGAACTTGCTAATGGGTTAGAGAACAGCAAACAAAAGTTTATTTGGGTTCTACGAGATGCTGATAAAGGAGATATCTTCGATGGTGAAGTTAGGAGAGTTGAATTGCCAAAAGGGTTTGAAGAGAGACTTGAAGAGAAGGGATTGGTGGTGAGAGAATGGGCACCCCAATTAGATATACTAGCTCACCCTGCAACCGGAGGATTTATGAGTCACTGTGGGTGGAACTCTAGTATGGAGAGCATCACAATGGGGGTTCCCATAGCTGCATGGCCGATGCATTCAGATCAACCAAGAAACGCTACGCTAGTAACAGAGGTGCTAAAGACTGGTATAAGTGTAAGGGATTGGGAGAGTCGTGGTGAGCTAGTAACGTTTTCAACTATTGAAACAAGTATTCGGAAATTGATGGTTTCTGATGAGGGAGATGCGATGAGGAAGAGAGCTGCTAACCTTGGTGATGATGTTAGGCGGTCTGTAGAAAAAGGTGGGGTGACACGCACGGAGATAGATTCGTTTATTGCTCATATTACTAGATAGGATAGGATTCGTGTATTTACCTTTAAAAAAGGTTGGCACCTATGTTCCCAAGTGTGTGAATGACGGTATGTGTAGGACCCACATACACCTAAAAATATCCCAATGCAACTCCCTTCTTATGTTTTTTTTCAAATACGTAAAAAGATGTATATATATATTTTTTAATTTTAATTTACATTCTATTTTAAATGAATTTAATTTAGAGAAAATAAAATCTAGTTAACATGTGTTCAACTTCATCACCGTACGTACGTCCGTACCCACCGGAAAATCGCCAAAATTCTCAATCTTAGGCGACACCCCTTCCTGTTATTATATTGCATTGTTTAATTTTTTAGGAAATTGAGCAGATCTCTGAAGTTATTTATTATAATAAAGAAAAATAAAAATATAATACTATAATTTAGCTTAAATTTCATATTACAAATTTACAATACCTTAAAGTTTGAAATTATAGTGTTGTAGGAGACAAAAATAAAAGTGATATCCTATTATAATCAAGCATCTGATATGGTCACATGAGTGAAGAGGCCATTAGTGGGCCATTAGTGTTTGGGATCGCTTATCCCAAGCATTTTTTTTAAATGTTTAAACGAACGAACACAAATAACAAAAATTTATTTGTTTATTATTTTATTTGTTTGGCTAATTTAAACGAACGAACATGAACAACCCCGTTCGTGTAATTTGGTTCGTTTATAATTCTATATATATCTTTAATTTAAACAATATAAATTTTTTTCTACTTATAAGTTCATTAAAAAATAACTATAATCTAATGAGAAAATTACACACAAATATGTTTTGTAAACTAAAAAATTAAACATACATTGGACAATTGGATCTTTTAATCGATGATCGGCTCTCGGTTTTATATGAAAAGAAAGTAGTCGCAATGGTGGATCCTAATAGATTAGGAAGTTGAAAAGTGAAACAATACTGCAAATTAAGAACACAATATATTTAGGGTTTAGGTCAAAATTGGTCACTTAACTTTCTGATTTGTTCTATTTTGGTCACTTAACTATGTTTAAGTTTTAAAAGGTCATGTAACTTTCTATTTTGTTCTTAAATGGTCACTGTAACCGGGAGTAGCCTGTAAACTGATGACTTGACTTTCTTAATCCATGTTGGCATCATACATGGACTTATTAATCCCATTTGGCTGCTCACGTGGTATTTGACCTTGACCGGATTTCAAATATCAATTAACAGATATGTATTATTCATCGTCTTCAACGGGAAGAACCCTTCGATGTCTTTTCTCTTCCGTATTTCAAGGAATCTCTAAGTGAAAACCTAGGTATCGTAAGTCCACTTATAATGCCCTTCTCCAAGATTTAACGATGAAGAAACCACTCGATTATGAACTAACCACTCGATTATGAACTAACCACTCGATTATGAAAACCCAGGAACGCCCTTCTCCAAGTCGCTAGCAGTAGGAAATTGAAGAAATCATTTCGCGCAATCAGGCTTACAAGTGTTGTTACAGGTACATAACTATCTTAAAACTACCGTTTTTACATTAAATTTCAAAGTTTCGAGTTTCAATTTTAAGTTCTTAGTTTCGATTTCTTGTGAATGGCAAACAGATGTTGACTCTTGAAGTTTACTACAATGGTGTTTTCGTGCCAAATCCTTTAAACTATGATGGGGGTTTGAAGTTAACTTTGTCTGATGTTGATTTCGAACAAATGGAGTACCCAGACCTAGTTGCGTATCTTTGTCGGGTGACTGATTCCACAGTCAAAAAACTTTTTTACTCTGTTGGAAATGGAGCATTAGCAAGAGGCTTGAAGTTATTAATGTGTGATATAGATTTCAAAGAATGCAAATCTGAGGCACATCTTCATGGTGGTCAAATTTCTATCTATGTTGATGATCATGACTATGATGTACTAGATTGGATTGCAGAGGAAATTATTCATCTTGATGAAATTGATTTCAGACATGATGAACTTCATGGGAGTGATGGGGAGGATGATGACCATGATTATGAAGAAGATGAGGAGGATGATGAGTTTGAGTATGAAGAGGATGATGAAGAAGATGGTTTACTTGCTCATTGCCCTATGGAACATGAAATTGATCAGGAGAATATAGAAACCAAGAGAATCCATGAGGATCCATTCTTGAATGTCTTGCTTGCATATACGAATGGTGAAGGAAATTTAACAAGTAAAAATTTTCCTTCATATAACCCCACAGTGGATTGGAAGGAAATGAAACCTATTTGTGGCATGTGTTTTGAAGACAAAGAACAACTAAGAACTTTGCTTACAGACTACTCGGTGGCAAATGGATATGATTTACATTTTGTCACTAATGATAAACAACGAGTTATTGCTTACAGACTACTCGGTTTTCACTTAGAGATTCCTTGAAATACGGAAGAGAAAAGACATCGAAGGGTTCTTCCCGTTGAAGACGATGAATAATACATAATTGTTAATTGATATTTGAAATCCGGTGAAGGTCAAATACCACGTGAGCAGCCAAATGGGATTAGTAAGTCCATGTATGATGCCAACATGGATTAAGAAAGCCAAGTCATCAGTTTACAGGCTACTCCCGGTTACAGTGACCATTTAAGAACAAAATAGAAAGTTACATGACCTTTTAAAACTTAAACATAGTTAAGTGACCAAAATAGAACAAATCAGAAAGTTAAGTGACCAATTTTGACCTAAACCCATATATTTACAATAATCTAGAAAAATATATTTACAGTAGTCATTTTTTCACATTTACAATAATCAAGAACAATATATTTACACTAGTCATTTTTTCACATAAAAGGGCTTGAGCTAAGGGGGTGTTTGGCTTATCTTTTTGAGAGGCAAAAGTTTTTTTTGGAAAAGATAAAATGTAAAAGATGTTTGATAATAGGATTTTAAAAGCTACTCTTGGATTTTTGATATAAGAAAAACTGACTTTTTGGAAAAGTCAGGAAAACCTGACTTTTTGAAACTTTTCCAAAAAGGACTTTTGCCTCTTAAAAAGATAAGTCAAACACCCCCTAAATGGATATGGATAAAGAAAATGGTACAAGAATCAACTTAGGGGTTGTTTAGGATTTCTTATTTAATATATATAAACAAGTTTATTAGCTTATTGTATCTGACATTATTAATAATTTTTTAGTGTTTGAAGAAATTAAGATTAAGAGGCTTATTTATTTAAATAAAGAGATTTTGGACGGTGGGTTTAACGTATCTAAAATAATTAATAACTTATTAAATATATAATCAAAGCAGAGTATTCTTATGAACAACGGTTTCAATAAAATAAATTATGGTGGAGCTCAACGTTGTCTTCTTCTTGACAATGGTGTCCTCCACCGTTTTTATTCTCCAATTAAATTACTCCACCACACCACCACCGACTTCAGTCCGATGTTTGTTCCACTGACTTTCCTTTATCTCTATTTCCTCCTATACGTATTCTCCTGCGAAGATGCTTGTAACGTCCCAAATAAAAGACCCAAAAAGATCCATTTTAATTTAATAAAATTAGTATACCAAATACATTATCATTACAATCCAAATAATCAAGTGTATCAATTGCCATATGAAATCAGAGTAAATCACAAAACGCGGAACGAGATGGTGTGTGTTCTACAATCACCCCGAGCTCTTCTATTTGAAAACCGAAGTACCTGAAATATAGACTGAAAACCGTAAGCACAAAGCTTAGTGAGTTTCCCAAGATGCCACATACCATACATATCAACATATAATGGGCCCCCGCCCGACATCGAGCCCACCTCAGATTACATATCTGTCATTCCTTAGGCCCCGCCTGGTTTCGGGCCCCGCCCGATACACACATAATCATATAGTCATATAATCATACGAACACATGCGATAATCACAAAGACAATAGCATACCACACGGTCATCGAGCCCCGCCCGGCAAGCATAAAACACATACTGATAACTAGCATACAATATACTCATAAGGCCCCGCCTAGCATCGGACCTTGCCTGGTAAACATATAGTCCACAAAACCCATGCAAGAGTCACACAGACATCTTGCATCCTAAGCATAACAATCATGGGTCGGCATTGGTGCCTTAGACCCGCTAGACATAGTGAGGAAACTCACCTCGCACTGCCGAATCTCACAGAAAGAATCTTCGGCTGTTGGCCCGCAAAAATCCCCGCGCTATCAATCACAAGTTAATCATCCATCAATAATCGGATCCGACCCACATCAAGTGTCCAAACTATGGTAAAAGACCTTTTTACCCTTTTCATAACTTGACCCAAATCCAAGGCCCAATTCAACAATCCAAAAGCCCAAAATTCCAATTAAACACCCAAGGCCCAAATATGGCACAATTTTCCAAATTAAGCCCAAATCCCATAGTGGGTCTTTCAAAATAATTATCAATTCAAAACCTGATAGCCCAACAGGGCCTAAAGCATCTAAGCCCAATGGTTAGCCTAAAACGAAGCCCAAACACTGAAATCCATTCCTGCTGAGTACGCGGGGCGTACTCAGCTTGTACGTTAAGCGTACTGGCTTAAGGGCTTGTCCAATACTTAAAATCACTATTTTAAAGTACTCATGAATATTGTAGCAATTACAATTGTAATGTATTAACCTCAATCGATAATCTACAATCAATTCATGACAATCTTAATTCAATACTTACTTCCAAAAGTATGAACGACTGTGGAATTTTGAATAATATTAAAATTACTCAGGGATGTAAAACATGCAAAGTGAAACACAATAATAAATTAATTAACTATGACATAATACCCATTGATTAAAATTAAATCCCTATCATTTAATCACCATAAAAATTACGAATTTATTCATTGTATAATGTTTCTAGTAATCAACTAACCACTTGAATTAGATAACATCAGTCATGCCATGTTATAAACATGCATACTATGTCTCTCAATGGTCCTTCCTTTGTGAATAGATCGATTAGACATTAGTCCAACGATGCTCAATTTATGATTCAAATTCTTATCACTAT